TATATATATATATATATATATAAAAGTCTAAAAGCTTACCCGTTTAACACCATAGTCACAAAATTAAAGGCACAACATAAGTTTGACATTTATTGAGAGGTTGCGTGAAGGCAAAACATAATGAGCTGAAATTCGGTTACCAGCTAAATTTTCTAACATTACCTTCTAATTTAATATTAAAATCTAAAAATTCTAATTCATACAAAGAGCGTTAAAATGTAAAGACAAAACACTGTATTCGCGAATTTCTTGATAAAAAATGTTCTAATTACGTAACAAAAAGGTTTGTTGTAATTATTTATAATTTTTAATTTGAGTAACATTATTAATAATTAAGATGTGTAAGAAAATGAGTTGCCGCGTTTCCTCCTCGGTCCCTCGCCTAACTCCGAATATTCTCTACCATATAAATAATATCAATATATCCAACGTTTTTAGCAAATATATAATATAGTTTTATTTCAATTTGAATTGTTTGGTACGTATTTGGATTTACCGATATATTAGGACAGCATGCTGTCATAATTTTTAATCTCTCTGAATATTTTTATCCGGTAATGATTAACGCTTTTTTATTTGTCAACACGTAAAATATCATGGCCGAATAAGTATATCCATGTTTACAATATTGGTATTTATGACGTATGCACACTAACATGAATTCTAGAGTTATGAAATTGGCTTTTGGACATAAATAGGGTATCCAAATATAGAAATATCTATAAATAAGGGGATGAAAAATATATAATTTAATATCAAAATTGAAATCCAAATTATATAGATAAATGGATTCAAATTAAATTCTTACCCATCCATATATATATATATATATACATATAAACTGACAAGGTTTTTTTTATAACAAAAGTTATCATTTTTTACTGCCAAATTTAGTTTTCCAACAGAACATTAAAATATTTTCCCGATTTAATTCAATGGTTTAATTTGTCACATGCGCTCATTGGTCATATTTACTTATCATATAAAATTATCGTCGACATTGGAAGTTTATATCATTTAAAGTATGTGCCAACATTCAACATATTTATTAAATATCGCCTAAAATCATAACCGGTGGATATTTTTAACCAAAAATAAAAACACTAAAGGTAATTCAATATTATTGGATATTGATTCATATGCATTTATGATGTAATAACGTCATTTTTAATCTATTTTATTTTTTTATTGGGAGAATAGGAAAAAAAAACTCTCTACTTTTATTTTGTTGCAATTTAAATTCTTTACTTTTTTTTGGCTTAGAAAAATCTATACAATTAATTTTTTTTTGAAAAATTTATTTACATTGTATATTGTGATTATTTAAACCTTGTATTTTTTTTTGTATAATAAAAAATATGTACAATTAGATTTTTTGGACATACATAAATTATTTATGGCGAAAAATAATCCTAAATGTAATAAAAACAACTCACGACATTGACACGTTGGGTAATCATTCCAATCTATTTAATCTAAACCGATTTCGGTTAAACAAAACCAGAAGTCCATTGATATCTCTTGATGTTTTTCCTCCCTAATCGAGCATTATTGTTGTTACAATGCCGAAACAACAATAAAACGAATAAAATTAGTTTAAAGACCATATCAATGTGAATATGACATACTAATTTCAAGGTGGACATCCAAGATATTACGGAATTTTACGAGAGATTTAAGGTTTCTGTCTCGACTTTATTCTGTTTGGATTAAATTATGTATGTAAATTTAGGTTATTAAATTTCTAGTTTAACTTAACATAAATCGGTTTAAATTAAGTAGATATTAATAATTATCCAATCGTATCGATGATGTGGACTTTTTTAATACCCAAGAATTGATTTTCTGTCACGTATAATTTGTGTATATTTATTTTTCAATTTTTTTTACAACGATATTAATTTGACTACAATATGCAAAGTATATAATTTTTTTTAAAGATTTTAATTCTAATTTTTTTTAAAATAAAAAAATTAAAGATTTAAATAGCCATAATAATATGCAAAGTATAATTTTTTAAAAGAATCTAATTGTACAAAGTTTTTTAAGAACAAAAAATAATAGGATTTAAAAACATTACAGGTTTTATTTTTTGTTGCTATTTTTCCCTTTTTTATTCAAAGGGTTTTCAATATATCTGATATCGATAATGGTACGATCACATATCTAAACATTATATATATATATATATATATATATATATATATATGTATATTGATAATATTTGGCCAAATAAAATTTAAATTTTGACGATGAGAATCATTTTGTACTATCTTCAACACTAAATCACCCCACTTGGATATATATATATATATAATCAACATCTCAATATCAGTTATACTAACAAAAAACTCCACTTTTGATATAACTAGAAAAATATTGACGATAGGAAAAAAATAAGAAAACTATCTATTACAGAAATTACGTGTTTTCACAAGAAAAAAAACTCATGTTAAAAGTTAATTGGTTTTATGTTAAAAGAATTATATCCATTGTTTAAATGATATATAGATTTGTTTCGATCCTCATTTTCATTAAAAATGTTTATCTTTTTTTATTTATTTCTATTAGATTATAGAATTATTTTTATATTCGAATAATTTTGTTTAAAAATGTATCTAATAAATTTTTATAAAATTTATTCAAATGCTATTTATGTAATATTTAATGATTGCATTTGTTAGTGATCTAATGTTAGATGATTTTATTCATTTGGCAAGGGAAATATTAGTGGGGTCTAGGGTTTGGTCGTTGACCAGGCTGAGGGCATTATTGTAAATAAATAGAAAGAGGAGTGGTAGGTCCCGTTTGGTGGTGGGCCTTTTATGTAAACCGGTTATATCCGGCTGTCGCCCTGCCTACATTTATCTCTCTTTTTTTCTTTTATTTTTTACAATTTTTTTTTGGATGCATTGCGAACTCCGGCCGCTACCATTCGGGCGCGCTGACCGGATAAACCCTAAACCTACGCGTATGAACCTACAATACACGCGTGGGTGGTAAATCAGTCCGGAAACTGGCAGACGAGCAGATCAAAGGAAGTGAGGCGATGGAGAATCGAACCCCGACCTCGTGGGTTTTCTTTTATTTTTTGCAATCTTCTGCCAATCTGTATCATAAATACAATTCATATTAATTAATTTCTTATGTATATATTATTATTTTTTTTACCATATTTTGTTCTTAGAATTCTCTTGTTCCTCGTTTCGCGTAATTATTTTTTTTCCTTAAATAAAACTTGTTAGAATATAACGAATATACGTCTTCTGATTGAGTTCAATCCAAACCATTATTGTCGTTTTAAGAAGTAAAAATAATTATAATAATGATCAAAAGCCAAAACCAAAATTGAACTAAACTCATTCAGTAATAAAATTACTTTTTAGGGAATAACTTAAATATACAAACGGATTATTTTCTTTATCATTTTTTTTAAATAAAACTCTAATTACAGAGAGAGACAAGAGGAAAGTCAGCGACTACTTTTTTTTTGTTGGTAAACCAAAACTTAGTGGGGATCATTTTATGTTTTCAGTTTGTTTATTTATAGATTTTGGTATTTTGATATTCGAAAAATCATATGTATTTAGGTATTTCTATTACATATCCATTTAATTTATATTGTTTTTATTTTAGGATTAATTTCAAATTGATTAATTTATTTTAAAAAAATATATTCAGTTAATTGTTTAATTATATACTATTCAAATACAGTGATATATTTTAATTTTACTATAATATACCCTAATGGAAAATACCTATTTGTAAGAAAACCGTAAAATTAATAACGTGTGGTACAGGGGTAGAATATGGGAGTTTGTTCGAGTTTTTTTTATGAGTTTATTTTAAATAAAAATGCATAATTATAAATATATAAAAAAAAACATAATATCATTATAAATTGATAAAACATGAATGAAGGGGGCACGCGGTTATCGAAGTCGTAGAGCTGACACACGCAACGTACGTTACCCATCGCCATACGAAATCCTCACAAACTTCTGTCCCCTTTTTGTTCGCACGTGATTCGACGCTCTCTCACCCTTTTTTTTTATATTATTTTATTTTATTGCTATTATTATATTTTTAAATCTATTTAGTACATGACGAAATATTTTTTCTTACATCGAAGAAAAGAAAAAAATAATAATAACATAGACGATAATATTTTTATGTTTGGTGAAAAATCAATGTGTTTTTTCCTTGTAAATGAAGGATGGCATCTTGACACAAGTTCTTTGTGTTTACACTAATTTCGGGTTTACCATTTCATATCAAATTACCCAAACTAAAATAAATTGACGATAAATTTTTACTTAAATAAATAATTTGTTAAGGTCTTCAAAATGTTATGACCAATAGTTGCGAAAGATTTTGTGACACATTATTACAGATTTATTTTTTACAATTTCCATCACAAGTTTAGTCGTAAACCAATTTTGTTTTGTTTTCTAGTGCTGTTGTATCCTTTCTGATTTTTTTTGAAAGGATCCGTTTGTGAAGAAGAACAATAACTAATAAGAAATGAACGGGTTCGACCGTGGCACGTGACACTCGTACAGCCGGAGATAACTAATAAGCTGGTCTGATCCGTTTGTAACCCGAATTATAGAAATATAGTGTAGTCACATGTTGATTCCATTGTTTATAATATTAAATTTATGATATTTTAATCAAATGATTAGTAAGATATACAATGTACGACCATAATGAATTAGTGTGATCACCATAAATTTAACGTTATAATCAATAAAATCAAAATGTGATCACATTATATTTTGAATCACATGGTCACAATTGGAGAAAAATATGCATTGAAGTAAAAATAGCAAAATAAGAATATTTTTGATATAATGCCGAATGAATGAGGAGTAGGGCAAAGTTATCACCGAAAATAAAAATGAAATTCAACACTCTCGAACCGATCCCGATGGTCGAGTGGTAGAGGTGGACAAAAATACTTGAATTTCGGGTATCCACCTTATAACGAGATAGAGATCGGATTTTGATGTCTAAAACTCAATTCAGATTCGGGTTTGTATTTTTGGGTAAGGTAATTATCCACCGGTATCCGAATAATAGAAAATAAATAATATTCTTAATTATTATAAAATTACAAATATATATATTAATATTTAATTACTTTTTACTTTATTTATGTAAAAAAATTATCATTTTATAATCTATTTATTTTAAATATAAATACTTTTCAATAATAATTTTATAATTTATTTGTATACAATATATAGATTTGTGAGTTTAATTAAAATGTGCTTAAAAGCCATGAGTTTCGAGTATCCAAGGTACGTAAAAATTGTCTTAGACGTAATATAATTCGAGAATCCAAAGATCCCACGACCCGTCCACACCCGTAACAAGTGGTTTATATTTTTTAATTTCATAAATAATTTTTTGTTTCCCATATCAGATTGGCCATACTTAAATCCACGTCAGCATCGTAAATGGCAAATAATACATTCCTAAATTACTCTTAGCTCTGTTGGGGCTTCTGGAATGATAATAATAAAAAGGGTTATCCAAAGGGAACACAGCTTAATTTGTCAAAGTGAGAAAACATCTAGCAAAATCCACTGGCAGGATCTAAAGAAGACAAAACAGGGAAGGGAACAAGACAAGTGATGTGGTCTAAGCAGCAGTGGCAGCCTTCTGCTTCTTGGGCATACGGTAACCACCGACAACGCAAGCATGGTCACGCTCGAACGGCTCGAGAGTCACCTGCTCAGCCGGCCTGAACTGCTCTTGTTGCAGCTTCTTCACTTCACTCTGGAACACTGCTTCTGCCGGTACCGTCGAGTCTATACAGTTTGCCTGCTCACAACAACAACAACAACAACAACAACGTTTTCTTTCAAGTTTCCCTTGAAAAACCTCGGCTTTAGGGTTTAAGAGTTGGAGTTTAAAAAAGTGAAGCCCGGTTTGAGGTTTACCTTGATGGAGATCACAAAGTGACCACCCGCTTTGAGGAAGTATGATGCATTGAGGGCCATAATCCTAGCCTGCACAGTTTCACGAAAGAAAGACGGATTTTCGTAAAGGATGATTCTTGAAAATATGTCATACAATAGGGAACGAAAGTGTTTTTCCGTGTCCAGAATTCAAGAAGAAAAAACAAAATCAGAATCAGATACTTCTGTGACCGAAAATTAAGTACTACAAATCGGGCAAACAAGAAAGAAGAGGCACAAGGCAAGGTTAAAGCAACAATTTTGTGCAGTGGACGACATAGAAAAACGGGATTTTCGAAAGAGTTTTATGAAGAGGACCAATTGGAAAACAAGAAAGAGCAAACAGGAGAAATTTGGAGGCAACATCAGAGACTTGGAGTTTGCATCATCCATGATGTCCTGAAGGGGAATCCAAGTACTTCATCATCTGCTGATTTCAACATACCACTTTGTATGCATACCATATTTAACAAAAGTGCATTTTCCTAATGGCAATCGATTCGAGATGAATGCTCTCAAACACCACAGAATATGATGCAATGGAGTAAAATTTATCCATGGAAAAGCACAAAAGTTGGATCTTTTCTTGTTCGATTTCTTGATTTTGATAAACAAAAATGCAAAAGAATCGAACCTGGTCAGGCTGAGCAACATCAGAGAAGATCACATCAACCATGCCTACAAGCATCCTGTATTTAGAAGGGTGTCTAGCATCTTCGATAATGGGTATAACATTAGTCCGCTTCTTTGCCATGTTCACCAAGTCTCTACCACTTCGGTGAGAGAACTCGACAGCATAAACGATTCCCTCCTGATCATCGGAAAGGCGAAAATCGTCACGCAACAGATACATAAAAACATGGAATGGCAATAACCAGAGAGCTAATTACAGCACAGACGATATCATAAGCTTTGCTTACCGGTCCAACAAGATCAGAGACATGAGAGACTGTGGTTCCAGAAGCAGCACCAAGGTAAAGAACTTTGGCACCTGGTTTCTACATAGTTTACCAAATAAGAACCAATTCAGGAAAGAGCCCTTTCTGCAGATCACAATAGAAAGTTCCAATGCCATGTGTGGAAAAGATGGAACTTACAATCCATATGTTATCAACACCACCAAGAATGGCAGCAGCCAACTTAGAACGAAACGGGTTCCAGACTCTGTACTCAACCTTGGTTCCATCTTCATTCTGTATTATGAAAACCCAATTGAAGATTCATAAGAACATCCACATACTAAAAGATACACCACAAGGTCCTATAACACCAACACATTTTCCATACATTATTATACATCAAAAATGGAAACGGACATATTAAGCAAAATGATAGACATACCTGAACAGAAATCCTCTTCTCGTTGTAGACTGCTTCACCAGGAACCAAGTTTTTTGTCACAAGGGCATCTTCTTTACCCTTAGCAATGAACACTCCTTCATGTCTGTGTGGCTCAACAATCACTTTGCTTCCTCCCTTCATCCCTCCTCCTCTTCCTCCTCCACGGCCTCTCCCACCGCCACGTCCACCGCCACGTCCTCTCATGGCGCTTCCGCCGCCACGTCCACCACCTCCGCCTCGGCCTCCGCCTCTACCTCCGCCGCCGCCACGTCCACCCCTAAACCCACCTCCGCCGCGCCCTGAGTATAACCATACCACGCACATCACCAAATGTTCCAATCAAATCGACAGTACAGTAGAAGTTTCCAAGTTCAAAGTCTAAAACAGCTTCGAAAAATGTACTCCTATCACCAGAACAGTAAAACCCAAACAAGGTCTCGGCAAGAATATAAGTCGATATCAAATGCTAAACTAGAAGGACTACCCAGTTAACAAAGTCAAAAGACCCATTGTTAAAGTCGAGCTGATGTCAGTCTGAAACAAAAACACAAAAATAAAGAGATAGCAATTAGGGTTCTGACCTCTTTGTGGAGGCCTCATCTTCGCCGGACCTTGGAGCAACTGGGACGATAAAGGACGAGGGAAATGAACGGCGAATGGAGAGCGAAAGTGGCGATACTGCTGTGCCAGTAGTGGTTTTTATAGTGGAGTTTCTAGGGTTTTAGAGGGTTTATGGTCAAGGTTTTGAAAATAACAAATCAGGTCTTGTATTTTTCTGAAATTGCTTTCTGAGTTCTTTGTTTTAGGACTACCGCAATGAAGGGCTATTATCGCCGTGGGAGAAAATTATTTGGGCCAGTGTTACAATATGGGATCCCAATAAAAGGCCCATTAACGGCCCATTTACGAGCGATCTCAATATCCACGTTCTTAAATCAGGCGGAGCACAATCTAAAATGCATTTTTTTTAGGATTAGATGGAAACAGAGAGCACAAAAAGAATGATTTCGGCCTAAATTCGTAATTTTCAATTTGGTAATAATTATCTTCGAATTAAATCGGAACGAAAGTTTTATTTTAAAAAATATTATATCAATTCATTTTTTTTAATTTTATAATCGGTTCGAGTTTATATTTTTGTAGTTTTAAAGGTAATTATTTTATTAAAAAAATTGGTCCACATTTATTTATTCGATTCGAAATGGTTTTCGAAAATTTTGGTGATTATTTTTTGTAAAATGATTAAAGTTCTGATTTTTTTTAAAAAAAAAGACAACTTGGAGGGAGGTTCTGCTCCTCGGCTTCTCTAGACCTGAACAAAGTTTCCTCCATTAAAATATAAAAGCCCACCCGAAGGTTTTCTAGGGGTTTTAGTTGGGAAAATCACCCAAATAACCCACTTGGGTCGCATCTATTTCAGTGTACACCACCCAAAAAAAAATTTTTTTTTTTCAATTTTAACCCACTTTTCGGTGGGAAAAGTCTGAAATACCCTTTTCGTTTTATTTTTTGCGATTTTATTACGACTAACATATAACTGATATACAACTAAAAATAAGACAAATGATTTTTTGCCACCTTTTTTAGAATCAATTGTAACTATATTTAGACTTAATTACGAAGTCGTAATAACGAAGTTGTTTTTGAACGGATAAATATCGTAATTCATTAAGGGTAATTTCGTCTTTTCGCAAAGAAAAAAATGTGTTATGTTTTCGGTGGTGTACAGATGAAATAGATGCGACCCAAGTGGGTTATTTGGGTAAAAAACCCGTTTTAGTTGGCCTTCTCCAGATTCATGCGAAGCCGAAGAGAGGTGAACGCATCTGTATTGGTTCCTCTTTTGATTTGTTTTTCGATGTCAGTTCGAATTTAATTGGGCCTGGGATTTGATAGGGTTCTTCGCAGGTCTCTCCGATTCTTGGATTTTTCAAAAAAATTTCCTTCGGGTTGCCGTCGCAACGGTCATTGCTTTAAGGTTGTAGTTTGTGTTGTTTTTGGTTCCGTAGTCATTGAGATTGCGGGCTGAGACTGCTAAACTCAGTTGTTGCTCCATTGAGTTTTGGGAGATACTTTTGCTTGGTACGTTAAATCGCTCTGGACTGTGCCTCCCTGTGGTTTTGTCCTGATGGATTCACCGGAACATAATCGGAGTTACATGAAGAGGGATGTGGGGGAAAGTACCGATTTGAAGGTTAGGAGTTGGGGAGGGAATGAGGAAGATTTGGAAAATAGTGAGAACCGTAAGAGATCGGGTGGTTCGAGTAGAGGGGAGAGTGATGAAGATGATTACGGGACCAAGAAAGAAGCAACCCTCGAAGCAGATGAGGAAGAGACAAGAGGAGAACTCGTTGGACAAGCTCAGCAGTTGGTACGAGGACAGAGATCAAGAAAGCCGACAGGATGGTAGGGATAGAAGCGGGAGGAGAAGGTCGAATTCAAAGGTCCCTGATTATGAAGATTCCCGAAACGGGAGTAAAAGTAAAGAAGAGATCTCTTGATGGAGAGTCTGATCAGTGTCACGACCGTGATTCCAAGAGTTCAGATCGGAAGGAGAGATTGAACTCGTGGTACTTCTGATTCAAGTACAAGGAGAGGATGGGATGATGCTGATCCTGCAAGGAAAAGTGAAGAGAACGAAGATCAAAGATGGCCCAAGAGATGAAAGATCGAGGAAGGGACGGTGGCTGGTCTGATAGGGGCAGAGATGAAGAAGGTTCGATGAAAGATAATTGCAAGAGAAAGCACTCCAGTAGTAATGAAAAGGATTCAAACGATGGGGGTTTCATTTAAGATCGCAGCAGGGAACGAGAAGTTCCTAGGCAAGGGCACGTGAAAGGAATGACAACGATGAAGATGATTACGAGATGGAAACAGTCAAAACATTGTCGGGTGCCGGAGTTTCTGGTAGAACATAGATGTAAAAAGTACCAAATATTGTATTGAATTCCCATAAAAACTCAATACAAATCTGAGAATTGATTAATGTGAGCTTCTCTCTCACCCCTTACAACCTTCAGATAAGAAAAAACATAAGAAACTCAAAACCCATAATAGCTAGTAATATATAGGAGACTCATACGCTCATAAGAGGTCCCACTCAGAGGCCGTTAGCAATAGAAAAGAAATATTGGCTAATGAGTGCATAATCCTTGCCTCCCCCAATCCTGCAGTGCTAGACACGTGTCCTCCTTTATTCCTTCTTCTTCTTCCTCCCGTTAATCCTTGTCATGCGCAGACCCAACCTCCTGCCCCTCCTCCTTCCCGCTAGCCTTCTTCTTCCTAACGTATGCACTGAAAGCCATATCAATACCTCGGGCCCGAAGACGCAGCTTGTTCTCAAGTTGAAAACTCAGAAATTGCTAAACAAATTCCGCAGCATTCTCCCAAGTGGCCTCATGGAAAGGCAGATTTTTCCACTGAATCAACACCTCCAGATCACCCTGAGCTGAGTAACGCTGGTCCAACAAATCTGACGGCTCCACCACAACTTCCAGATCAGCAGTCAAGTGAGGCGGCAGTGGTAAAGCCTGGAAGTCAGTTCCGATAGCTCTCTTCAGTTGAGACACAAGGAAAACCGGATGAATTCTGGATTCCTGGGGAAGCTGTAGCTTGTACGCGACTGGTCTGATACGCTGCAACACTTGAAAATGGCCGAAGAAACGCGCTGCGAGTTTCTTGAAGGTGCGGCGTGCCATGGAATGTTGGCGATATGGACGTAATTTCAGGAACACCCAGTCACCAACCTGGAATTCCACCTCACGACGCGATCGGTCTGCCAAAGATTTCATTCTCTGCTGGGCACTGAGTAGCTTCTGGCGAATGTCGACTAACATAGCATCCCTCTCTCGCAGAGCAGATTCCAAATCCCCATTATTTGTCGAGCCAGTTTCATACATCAGCAACAAAGGAGGATCACGCCCATAAACCACCCTGAAAGGGGAGGTTTTAATAGCGGTGTGATATGCCGTGTTGTATGCGAACTCTGCCCACGGAATGAAACCAGCCCACTTCCTCGGATGGTCACTCACATAGCAACGTAGATAAGTTTCCAATCCCCTGTTTACCACCTCCGTCTGGCCATCAGTCTGCGGATGGAAAGCCGTACTGTGCTTCAAATGCGTGCCGGAAACTCGGAAGAGTTCCTTCCAGAAGTGACTCAAAAATATACGATCTCTATCCGAAACGATCGAGTTGGGAAATCCATGAAGTCTGACGATTTCTCGGACAAACAATTGAGCAACATCCACAGTTGTGCAAGGATGAGTAAGGCAAAGGAAATGGGCGTACTTACTCAATCGATCAACCACCACCAAAACTGTGTTGTAGCCTCCCGACTTTGGCAATCCCTCAATGAAGTCCATCGATATATCACTCCACACTTGTGTGGGCACGGTCAACGGCTGTAACAACCCCGCCGGGGCTAGGGTGAAATATTTATGGCGCTGACATGTGTCACACGTGGCCACATAACGCTGGATATCGCCCCGCATCTCTGCCCAATAAAACAGAGTTTGCACCCGCTTCAATGTCCGCAACACCCCTTCATGACCCCCCGCAAACCCGTCATGGAGTTCTCGGAGTATGACACCCACCCATGAAGACCCAGCGGGTAGGATTATCCTACCCTTGTACAGCAGATTATCCCCACGAACTGAGTAGCTAGGAGGTCCTGACTGTGAATCTCGAAGCCTGGCCAGTATAGGTCCCAACACTGCATCCTCAGCTACTGCCCTCGAAATCTCTTGAATCTGAATCACACTTGGAACCGTGACGGCACAAACCCCAGCCGCCCCTTCCAAACTAGCATTCTGAGGTATGCGAGAAAGTCCATCAGCAGCCTTATTCTCCGGACCGGATCTGTACACGATGTCAAAGTCAAAGCCAAGCAGCTTGGTTAACCAACGTTGGTACTCGAGATTCACCACATGTTGCTCCAGCAAAAACTTTAAACTTTTCTGATCAGTTCGCACAATGAACTTCCGACCCAACAGATAATGGCGCCAACGTTGGATGGCTAGAACAATAGCCATCAACTCTCGTTCATAGACCGGTCGAAGTCTGTCCCGATCTGAAAGACCGAAACTGTAATAAGCTACTGGGCGTTTCTTCTGCATCAAAACCGCGCCAATGCCTGCCCCCGAGGCATCCGCCTCCACGACAAAAACATCGCTGAAATCTGGAAGGATTAAAACAGGAGCCGTAATCATAGCTTATTTTAACTTTCCGAAAGCAGCTGTCGCGTCATCCGACCAAAGGAACCCATCTTTCTTCAGTAATTCTGTCAACGTCTTGGCAATGGTACCGTAATGCTTCACAAAACGCCTGTAATATCCGGTTAGACCCAGGAAGCCCCTCAAGTCTTTCACCGTCCGAGGTTCAGGCCACTGTCGAATCACCTCTGTCTTGCTAGGATCGGTAGCCACCCCCTCTTTTGATATCAAATGTCCCAGATATTCCACACATGACTGCCCAGACAAACACTTTTTCTGATTAGCAAATAACTTTTGCTGTCGCAACACGCCCAGAACTTGCGAGAGGTGAATCGTGTGGTCGTCCCATGTTCGGCTATAGACCAGAATGTCGTCGAAGAAAACCAGAACAAACTTTCGGAGGAAAGGCTTGAAAACATCATTCATCAGCGCTTGGAACGTGGCCGGTGCGTTGGTTAAGCCGAATGGCATAACCAT